GCTTAATTTCTTTTATACATCGTTCTAGCTTTGTTATAGTATTTGAATAGAACATGTGGCAACGATTAGATAATTCTTTAAATGATATACATTTTGTGCATTCTGAGTTATAATATGAATGAAATATAATACTGTTAAGTAAACCTAGCGTCAGAGTGTCGCTATGGTAAACAAAGTGAATTTTAAAGAATGCATTTATTCTTAAAAGCGTTAAATTTATTCTTTAAAGAATGCAATTATTTCTATTGTAGTTTATGCGCTGTCGGCGAAGTAGGTTTAATTCAATCTAATAAGTTTAAATAAAATGCAAGAAAAAATGCGTATAATTTAATATTCCGTATTAGGAAGTCATGTGGTGTACACATCAGATTTTTTTATCTCGTTATTAAAACAAAAGGTCACTCTTGTATGCGAATCTTATTAAAAACTATTTTTATAAGATATTATTTAATTCACTTATGGTGTTTCACTCTCATCGGAGTTCTGCCGGCGGTTTTTAACCTACTTCCTGCTAAGCTATCGTGTTCAAATTTTGTACACACGCGTTTTATTGATGATAATGTAATGCGGTAAAAAGATGTTTTCCAAAATTTTAATTTAGTTTTTTTTTTTTTTTTTTTTTTTTTTTTTTTTTTTTTTTTTTTTTTTTTTTTTTTTTTTTAAATTTAATGTTTAAATGATCTTTCACGCGTATCTTCATTTAACGAACAAGCCAAAACTCTGAAATTTTATTGTTTACATCAGGGTATAAAGTAGAAAAAACAGTCCTTTAAAAGAACTTTGTATGAAATTTTTTATTTAATCTCTGATTTTTGTTAAATTTTTTGGATATAGCTCTATTTTATTCACCATTTCATATAACAGAATGGTTAGAAGTAAAAAGAGTCATTTTTCGTTTTTTGAAAACGATTTTTGAACTGAATACTTGACAGTGGGAACTGAATAATTGTCAATATGTTATTGAGTTTAAAAAGATAAGAAACAAAATAAGCTAAAAATATTTTATAAAATAATTTATTATATATTCTCGTGAGATCAAGAGATCAAATAATTGTATTAACAAAATTCATTTACAAACTTATACCGCAAATAAAAGTGTGCGACGCCCTTTATAAATTCATGAAGATAACAGCTTATACTTTTCAGCGAAGATGCATTTGATTAACAGATTTCGTTATTTGGACGCCCACGCTTTTATCATTCGTGATATACAATTGTAGAAGAATTTTGTAAAGAGAATTATTCAGTCTCTGATTCCCATGAAACTGTATGATAAATTATTTTCCTCTTTCAGTTCATTAATCATTTAATAAGTTTTAAATGTAATGTTTTTATATAAACAATTTTTATCTTTTTTTTTTTTATTTGTAGATCAATTAAGCTCGTATAAGATACCATTATCTATATTTAAAAGCCTTTCGCCGTTATGTGAAATCAATTCATCGATAAGAATTCCATGCTTGCAACGCTGTCAGCAAATACAGCTTATCGGTTCTATTATTATCGTTGAATACTTGGTGATTCTCCGTGGAGCACTGATGAATCCTGGTTGATACATTCCGTTTTCGAAATTACTATTTAAAATCTTTAACATGTGTCGTTAGTTTCAGCAATGATCGGTGATGATTACAAAGGACAATTGAGATCTCGGATAATTTTTATCTTAATGGGAGGGCAGCTATTGTAATTAATTCACTGAAAAATTGGTTTTGCTCATTCATACTTTTTACAAAGCTGGCATAAAAATTTAAGTTTTGTATTTTAGGGTTTATATTTATTTTAACTAACATTTATTTTAAGCTATCTTTCCTGTCAAGCCTTTACTTTCCCCTGGAATTGCCAATGCCAGAGTATGTAAATTTTAGTAGAACGCGCAGAGTATTCAAATATTTAGCAGAAGTAATTTGAGTTAATAGAAGGGAACGAGTTCGTAAGTGGTGCTTTCTTGATTCACGAGCGTGAAGGTTGGCAGGGTAGAAATTTAAGAACCGCGCGTTTCGGCCTGTGTGCCTACTTCGGCAGTTAGTTGAATCTTTCAACTTCTTATTCAGAAAGTTTGCTGAAATCTCAGCTGTATCTTAGAACGCGGTTAGGTTAGTCACGTTTATAGAGCCTCGTAGGTAGTTACGTTGTTATTTATTCATCCTGATTATTTATCTTTAGTTGTACTTTCCGATTTTTAGTTAACCGCCGGGTCGGTGTAGTTTGTGAGCGTCAAGTGAACGCATCTGTAACTTCTAAAGTGGAATAAAAAGGGAGTTAAACCCTTCTTAAGAGTTTGTGTAATTTCCAGTTCATAGCAGTCACTACTACTGTTGCGGGCAAGTTGGGGCACAATATATTTGTATTGAAAGGTAAGGTAATAAATTCAAAGATAAGGTAGGCTTAATTTATTTTATTCTTACATTGCCATGGAAAAATGAAATTTTTAAGCATATTTATACATGTAATCGTCTTGCAACTACAATGGCAAATTTGCTTTACCTACTAAAATAAATCATTTGCTGCGCAAAGATGCATTTACCACTAAGTAAGCCGCCCAACCGGTATAGTGGTTAGCGTCAATAACTACCGTGCCGAAGGGCCTGGGTTCGAATCCCGGAGAAGGCATGGATGTTTGTAAATGTATAGTGTCCGTGCGGCTTGGGGGCACAATAACTATGCGGCGAACCGAAAGTCCTCTTGATCGAGAGGTTGGTGGTAGGGAAAAAGAGGTGGGAGACACTTGTACCCGTCCCTCCCGGGGTACTCTTCATCATAATTGAGCGCGGAACTGAGCTAAGTCACACTGTCACCTGTAATGTGCTCAAAGCTGTTGCCAATGACAGGCGTAAACTTACGCTCCTTGCCACGAGGATTTTCGTAGACTTGGGCCGACTATAGGTCAGATCACGGAGTATACTATTATACTCCGTGACAAATGAGCATTAGCAACAACAACAACAACCACTAAGTAAAAGTCTTTAGCTAGTTGCCAGATGTCGCCCTCAATGAGTTCCATTGCCCTCATTGAGTTCCATTGCCAGTCAGACAAATGAGCATTAGCAACAACAACAACAACCACTAAGTAAAAGTCTTTAGCTAGTTGCCAGATGTTGCCCTCAATGAGTTCCATTGCCCTCATTGAGTTCCATTGCCAGTCAGACAAATGAGCATTAGCAACAACAACAACCACTAAATAAAAAGGCTAGTTGCCAGATTGCCCTCATGAGTTCCCATTGCCCTCATTGAGTTCCATTGCCAGTCAGACAAATGAGCATTAGCAACAACAACAACCACTAAGTAAAAGTCTTTAGCTAGTTGCCAGATGTCGCCCTCAATGAGTTCCATTGCCCTCATTGAGTTCCTTTGTCAGTCAGACAAATGAGCATTAGCAACAACAACAACCACCACTAAGTAAAAGTCTTTAGCTAGTTGCCAGATGTCGCCCTCAATGAGTTCCATTGCCCTCATTGAGTTCCATTGCCAGTCAGACAAATGAGCATTAGCAACAACAACAACAACCACTAAATAAAAGTCTTTAGCTAGTTGCCAGATGTCGCCCTCAATGAGTTCCATTGCACAAGTTACAACTACAAATTCTATGTGACGGCACGGCCATTTAATTCAATTGTGTTTTATTTGCACAAGAATTTTGCGTTAAAATCTTCAGAAAACTGCTCACATTATTTTAAGCGTCATACAAAGTATCCAGTTGTAAACTGGATTTGTTATTTGGGTACATGAAGCAATACTTAGGTAGAGCAAATCCATTTAATAAAAATTGTCTGAATGCACATTGAGTTCACGTGAATGAATTCATTACGACAGACGTACCTAAGAAACGGGAACGGTTGCAGACAACCTGTTATATGAAACAATGAGAAAATTTACCATGTTCCTCTGATTACATGAGCCATCAAATAAAACATAATCCAGAAAAACAGACGTCTAAAACTATCCATATTACTTATCAGCGAATACTGATAGACGATTCTATGTATATTGTTGGGAAACTAGTTAACTCTTCGGGCATCAGCTACATCAGCTATACGGAAATTCTCCGCGCAGTCAAACAAAGTAATGCTATAAGATGTTATAGATAACTTTTCCCACTAGAACATTGTTTATCTTGAAGCTTAATTGAATCTTAACTCTCCATCTATAAGTGGTCGATTAGCTCGACAATATACGTCCCGCAATTATTCATGTTTTCCGATCTGAACAACAGGAACATTTGGCCGTTCACCTAATCTCGCACCAAGTGACGTTTTTACTGTCTTCATAATCTGTTGTGGGTTTTTGAAGGTGATTAATTTTCGAAAGGGGGGGGAAGCTCTGAAAAAAGCAAAGAAATGTTAAAAAATAGATTTCAGATGGGTTTTGAAGATCTCTACTAGCCATATTAGAAATATGTTATAAAAGAAACTTAATATAAAAGTGGGTTTATCTCAGTGTTATAACACCAGTTTCTTGTTGTTGTTGTGACTTATCTTACTTGTCTGACAGTAACATCAGAAAAACCCACAAATTTTATCGTGGCAAGAAGTGCAAGACTGAGCCTGTCGTTTGTAAGATCCTGGAGCACAATACAGGTACGACTTTTCTCAGTTCCATTCGCAATTTTGATTTTGAGCGCCCCGGGGAAATGAGTCCAAGGGTTATCCCTCCCTCTTCCCCTACCACCAGCTTCTCGAGAGGACTTTTGGCTTGCCGCACATTTACAAACATCAATGCCTTCTCCGAAATTCAAACCCTGGCCCTTCAGTTCGGCAGTCAGCATTGCTAATCACTATCCCGGTTGGACGGCACCAGTTTCTTAGACGTACGAATATTACTAGCAAAATAATTTTGTTTCGAAACATGACTCCTGTAAAAAATGTCACATTTGTGTTTAGTGCTTAAACTCTAAAATTCGAGCAAAATCATTTGAATTTGCAGAATAGACCCATACATTTCTGCTTGGGAATGTTCACAAATATATAACTGTCTTATTTCTTTAGTTATTCAATTGAACTTACAGATAACTCCAATTCCTGTTAACACATATACTATAGGAGATACTGGACAAAGCTCATTTTTGCTCAGGGTAATGATGACTTTTCCTCTCACTTCTTTTCTGCCTTCAGTGTTACTGCAGTTAGTTGAATTGACGTCAATAATCTGTAGAGCAAGGAAATATCATTAATGATTGTTACTTATTTGATACTTAAAATTACAATTAAAGTGTAGAATACAGAATGTTAAACAGATACAAATCACTCTGTAAACTTTCTTCAGAAAGAAAAAAGCAATTAATCTTAGTCTGATTTTAGATTTAGATTTGTACAACTCCATTTTCATTTGCAAAAGTTTTCAAATTGATTACTCGGTGTCGTACTCCTGAATGTACAGTACAGTCCCATTAACTTTGAGCCTCTTGACGACAGAGAAGTTCTGCTTGAAAATCTGTGCATTCATTTGGAATACGGTGCTTAGAATAGCAAACCTCAGATTGCTCTTCAAAATGGACTAATGCTAGACCAACCTTATTGTTCATTTTGCTGCCATCTGTAAAGCAAACCATACGAAAACACTTTTCAATAGTCTCTTTATAATCGCATAAATTAATAGGCTCTAACGTAGCTGTATGAGGAATATTCGGGAAAAGGTACATTTCCATTTATGCAGTCTTCCAAAGGATCAGTTGACAATGCCTCGAAAATATTATTCCTATACTCAGTTTCGAAGGTAGTAGGTGGAATTTCTGCAAGAACAAAAGTAGCCCCATAACTTAGTGTATAACCAGTAATAATACGAAGAAGAATTCTCCATTGGGTCTTTCTGAAATTTCTTTGTTAATCTTTTTTGCAAAAACATGTCCGAGAGCCACACGAAATAAATGCACAATACTCAGCTTATACATAAGTTTCTTGACTTTAAATTACCAAATTAAATTATTATTATATTAATTTGTTGAAAACTATTAATAAATTTTTCACATTTAATAGAAAGGAATTCGATCTGGTTGACTGCTTTTTCCATGCAAATTTCCAGTGAAGTATGACACCAAGAAAATTAACACTTTCTGCAAATTCTAAGGGCGAATCATAGATAATTAAAGAAGCAATATTTTGTTCATCGAAATTTCTGGAAACAACCATAGCTCGACTTTTTGAAAGATTGGAAGGGAGTTTACGAGAGATAGCCCACATGGAAACAAAATCCAGCGCTGCTTGTGCTCTCAAAAGAATATTAGTCTTGGAAAATTAATAGTAAGTCATCTACAAATGAAATTTTTAAACAACCATTAAGGTGACATAAAAGATCATGTTTTAAACAACAGAACCGGACACAGAGAGGACATCCTTTTTCCAGAGAATAAACCTTACTGTCGGACCCAAGTAAAAGCTCAGCAGTACTCCCGTTTAAGAAGCTTTTAAGCAGGTTATAATAGCAGGTTTAAGCAGGTTATAATAGCAGGTTTAAACAGGTTATAATATTTTTGCCATTCAAGGCTGAACACTGAGGTAATGAGCGAGTCACGAGGCTTAAGAACTTAGCATCTAGTTTAAGACTTCGAGTTAAGCTAAATCTTAAAAACGTATTGTGAAATTATGTATAAGATTTTGGGATTCTTTCAGTTTGATTTTATGAATTATTATGATGCTATATCTTTATTTCCTTGAATGTCTAAATATTTATCTAACCTGTTAACCGAGTTAGATGTAACACTTGGTTAACACTTCGCAGTATATAACCCTGGTTAACAGGTTGAATATACTGACCTGGTTAACAGGTCAGTATATCCAACCTGATAACCAGGGTTAGATTTACTGCGAAATTTAAATGTAGAAAATATTGAAGTTTCATAACAGCCACCTAATAACAAAAGGCTGGACATAGTGCTTACTTAGTGAGGTTTCTAAATGTGATAAGACTTCAAAAGATTAATATGATTAATATTACAGAATATACAATTCTGAGATATAATAGGAAAGTCTAATACTTAAAAATATCACACTTTCTTAGCTACTAAATAATTTGTATACTGTAAAATAAATAAAAAAGTCATTTATTAGCTGGAAAATTAGCTAACAGAAAAAATTGTATTCTAAATTATCACAAAAACAGATTGACGCACAGTTAATTATTTTAATTTTTAAAAGCAGAATTTAAAGGTATATGAGGAATCATAATATCTTGATTTTTAAAAGCAGAATTTAGAGGTGTATGAGAAATCTTAACACAAAACACTTTATTTTCACGTACTTTGTCTTTCTGGTCTTGCATCCATTCCCAGAATCGGACGGTTTCGCAATCACAGGTCCATGGATTCCCAGACAGCGTCCAGGTAATATTGGTTGACGGGTAGAAAACTGTATAAAATCTCGTCAAATTATTACCAGCAAGTTTCAGCGTCGTTAAGTTCTTAGGTAACTCGAAATCTAACACCGTTATGAAGTTCCTTTCTAAATCTAAAGACCTGAGACTTGAAAGCGATACGACATCGAATTTAATGGGATTTGTAATGGAGTTGTCTTGCAAATCCAACTGCCCCATGTTATCTGGAAAATTACTTGGAACCTGTAAATATTAAATGTATTTTTAAATTATTTAGAAGAGACATAAGCCAATGTAAAATTCAAAACTAACAAAAAAAAGGGCATTAGTTTGGCTTTGGGTTTTGAATAAATCTTTATCAATTTTGAAGCATTCGAAGAAAAGTCTCCTTCCTTCAGAACCAAAATATTTTTCGGAACTTTTATTCAAATTCTTTACCAAACTAAAACTGGTTTCCTGCCTAATTTTAAATGCTACTAAGCTTCTAATTAAAGTTATTAATTAATCATTAATTCTACTTTACATTCTGTTGTTGCAACTAATCTTACGTCCACGCTAATGAAGATCAATTAGAAATTGGTGATGAATGTACTTGTTGATTATATGCTTTGAGCGCATGTAATGATAATATGACTTTGATAATTTGATCCCAGGTTTGATCAAAAACAGTTACAAGGAAACAATGCATTTTCCCGTGCGTGTCCTCATAGCCCATTAGTAGCTTTTCTGGCTAGCAGTAGGAAGATCTCTTCCAGCAAGGTTATGGCTGATTCCCCAAGAAATATAAGAGATTTCACAGTAACCGCCAGACTAGATTGTGATGGACGACAATTCTTCACCACCTGGATCTGGCTGACTGGGTTTCCTTCATATCTTACCAGTCACCTTTTAAATGAGAGAATATAAGAAGTATTTGCCTTAACCCGTGCATGCTTATACTTTTGGTCCCTTAGCAAGAACTATTCGTTCGAGACCACTTTCTGCCATCGAACATCAAGTACATCCGTTCTGCAAAAGCACTACATTTAGCAAGTATTCAGAACTTTATCAAGATTTCAATTTTACGCTGATGCCTTTTTACGCTGATGGTCTACATCAGCATAAAAGGCAGCTTCGGCTAACTGCCTTTAACTCCTGCAGAAAAGCTTCGGCTAACTGCCTTTAACTCCTGCAGAAATGTTTCATTTTCTAATAGGTGGACCGGAAAGTAATGTCGCTTTCTTACATTAAATTCACACGAATAAATTTTTAATACGTTTTTATTTTTAATCAATAATGTAATCACCCTCGTCATCAGCAACCTTTTGCCATCTAGTGCGCAGATTTTCAATCCCCGGACCGATATAAATCAATTGGTTTTCGAGTAAATATCTCAAGATGGCATTTTGGACATCATTCAAATTTTCAAATTTTTTGGCACAAAGAAAATGTTGTCGGGATCGGAATAAAGGGAAATCCGAGTGTACGATATCGGGCGAGTATGGTGGGTGATATAGCACCTCCCATCCCAATTCATTCATTTTTTCCAGGGTCCGTCTCGCAGAGTGCGGTCTTGCATTGTCGTGTTACAGAATGATGCCTTTTCTATTGACAATCGCCGGATATTTTTAGATTAAAGATTGGTTCACTCGATTCAATTATTCACAATAAAGATCTGCATTAACGGTTTGTCCAGGTTTTAGCAACTCAAAATGAACAATTCTGCGAATACTCCACCAAACACCACAGAAGCGCCTTTTTGGGATGTAAACCTTTTGTAACCCCTATTAAAATGAAACTGCCTTTTGCGTTTTGGATTATCATATAGGACCCATTTTTCGTCTCCAGTAATCAAATGATTAAAAAACGGTTTTGTATGGTGCCGTTGAAACAAAACGTTGCATGTGATGGATCGGTTGGTTGGCTTTGTTCTCTTCGGACAGATTATGGGAGACGCAAACACCTGCTTTGCTTATTTTTCCATTCTGCTTTAAATGTTCTTGGATGGTCGACCAAGGTTGGTTAAGAGTGTTTGACATGGATTTGCTTCCACTTCTGCCCTTAGCATGTTGTTGTCGACATGCGCAGAAACGACATTACTTTTCGGTCCCCCCATTACGTCTACATTTAATGTAATTGGAAAGAAAACATAATTTCAGTATTTATAAAAGATTTTTAGTGGCAGCAGGCGATTGATAATGGTATTTGGTGTAATAAGGATATAATGATAATTTTGCCACAGGCGTTTGTAATGTTTGAGAGTAAAGTTATGTAAAATAGCGATTTAGTAACAACATTCAAGAAATGAGTAATGTAGGAATATGAAATAGACATATGGATTACTGAAACAAAAGCAAATTTTTTTAAAGAAAAAGTACTCCGGCAAGTTTCACTACACTGTTTCTTCTGTTGCAGCTAAATGAAGAATGAGAAGTATAGAAAAAATTAGATGAACAGCATCATCTAGAACTTTCTCTTAACTACAATGATGCCATCTAAAATCAACAAAATCTCTCAATTTTAATCAAAGATTTAAATTCTGTCTGTATTTTTCTCCACTATATGAACATATCAGTTTTCGGTCAAATATCACTTTTCGTTCCTAGATGACATTATATTTTTTTCCATTCAGTATAGAAATTGTCATTATAGTTAGTAAAATATTTCTCATTATTTTTGTAGTGCCTATTTTTGTTTAATTCCAGCCAATGAAGGCTGTACAGGTGAGATCAGGTGCAAATGTGTGAGGCACCGAAGTAGCGCCATAGAAAAATGTTGTCAAAGTCCCGGCACCTTCAAAGGTACCAAACTGTTTGTTTATTCATCATTTAATAAAAAAAAACTAAAAACTAAATGATATAATAATTTTAATAAAAAAAGTTTAAAAAAATGACAAAAACCTTTTGCAAGTTCCTATTAGAACAGTCCACTTTAATGAAAAACTCAGAATCTTCTTCAACGCACGTGCAAATGCAAGAGGATGGGCACTTCTCTGGCCAGTCGATTAATTCTTGTTCTGTGATGTGCCTCAGGTTTCTCTGTTTAAACCTGTCGGGTGAAGAACAAGTAAGCGATGGAACTGTAGAATGTGGCTTTGTTATGTCTACCCATTGTCGCAACCATAACATGCGGCAATCGCATTTCCATTTATTTCCTGCAAATAAAATAGGAATCTCAAAGTAAAACAGAAATACAAGTATATAATACTGATACTAATAAATGTGAGTCATTTCTGTGCCATTTGAATTTATCTTAAAACTACATAATTAAGCACTGTTGCGTTCTGCAAATTCCCACAAGTCTTTTTAAATAACTGAGATAGGTGAATAGGAAAAACTTAAAATTTTATTCCAAACTTTTATATATAACAGAAGATAAACAACCATAAATAGCTCCAGGAGAACGTAGAAGCAAACTGAAACTTTCCCTTATGCACGACAAATTTTAAAAATCACTCGCAAGGCAATGTCTACAGACGCAACCACGAAACAGGAAACTTAACAATGTAAAACATATGACGGCTTTTCATACCCTTCTATTTATAACATTTCTCAAGGAGGTGAGGAACACTTTTGGAATCTTCCGGAAAAATCGTTCTTAGGATTTCAGAAATGTGTTTTCTGGAAATTTACATATGTCACTGAACAAGAAATTGCTAAATGACGCGAATGTGCGGTAGAATGTTTCTGACGATACTTTCGCTTCTACTTGACTTATCCTTAAAATAACTTCAAGTGACTGAGAAAAAGGTCTGTGAAATAATAGAGGGTGCGTCAGTAAAATGTATACACACTTTGAACTGTCATAAAAAATTTATTTACCTACAAAGTTAAATTTCTAGAAAACGTACGGCTAATTTGAAAAATAAGTGTACTTTCTGATCAAACAGAATGTTCCAAATGGTGTTTAAAATAAATGCTCAAAATGGTGGCCTTCACCAATACATTTCTCAGTACGAATCATGACTGATTCCGTACCTCGCACCAAAAATGGGATCTCTATGCACAAGCATTTGAATCTGATCCCAAAAGGTATCAAGGTAACTTGGTTTACGACAGCACTCCTCATCTTTCACTTTGTCCTATAAGAAAAATCGAGGGGGGGTAATGTCGGGAGAGCGTGCAGGAAACTCGATTGGTCCCTTGCCTCCTATCCACTGGCCTGTTAAATTCACCACCACTAGCACTTACACCACATTAATGTGATCCTTGGCTTGAAGGTTTTTGCAGTGACCATTGAAACAGTTCCAGCTATAAGATTCATCACACGTACCCGCGCGAGGTATCTCTGATCGGCCTTTTTGCACATCACACACTGTTCCATGAACCCGAATTTTTCTCGTAGATGTGTAATTGCTAACCTTGAAGGTGGATCATTCTCATACTCAGCATCTCCACTGTCTCTGAATCGCAACAACATTCTCAAACTTTTAGTACCATTTGATGACCTGCTTCCGCTCTTGAAAGTTTAAATATACATCGCCCATGTCAATGTTATTCTCTTGGCATTAACTGGGTTGCGCAGCTAGAGCGGCGACTCTGCTGCCATATGTTGGGGAAACATAACGTTGCTTTCTTTTATAAACTTAACCTTGTAGGTATGATAATAAATTTTATACAACAGTTCAAAACGTGTATACATTTTTCTGACGCACCCTGTACATGAAATAAACAGATACAAACATGGCCACTGACTCACAATTACGCAAATCATGCAACAATAAACATAAGATATAAAAAATACAGAAAAAAATTCACAATTAAAATATTAACATTTAAATGACTCATAAAAACTGAATAATATTTAAGTAAATATAAATTTTTGTAAAAGTTTGCAGCAATATACTTGAACTTATTCTCGAATGTAAAGTCAAACAAAATGATTCAAAATACAATTACGTAAATGAGAAAGAAAAAATCTTCTTATTCGTTACTAACTGCTCAGTTGAAGCATTTTAAATACCAGTTCTCATCCCTTGACGCTTAGCTAAAGTTCTTATTCATGGTTTTTATATGGGTGTCAGTGCGCAGGGTCCGCCAGTGAAGCGGGAAATTTTAAAAGTACATAATATTTTCATGAAACATTTATTGCCAGAATATTTTTTACAGATTTGAGCGGAGTAAGGTATGCCATTCAACTAATACCGCTCAAGTGAGAGCTATTTCTGTATTAACATTGTTCTAATCTTGACCAAACATTTTCCGTCAGTCGACAAAACAGGTCAGATTGAATCCGTGATATTTCTGGTCTGATATTCATTTTTAATTCCGGTATAGTTCCTGCAAGCGATGAGATGTTGCCATGTTTGGATATGAGTTTGTCCGGGAAGAGTTCTCTTAAAGCAATCATGGACACACAAGCAGTATGACTGGTGACCCAGTCCTGCGTCGTATATAATTACTTTCCACAGGACAAAAACCTCCATTCATTCGGAGGATGGTTTAGATGTTTTAGCAGGGACCTTATGGTAGTCTTGTCTGTGGTGTCGTTACATGCTTTGATATTGTAGGTTGGGCTCCTCTTGGTCAACACTTGGAGACTGTCGATGTCGAACTCTGTTCTATGCATTCTCGGTGGATGCGCAGCCGTCCACCATAGACTTTGTGACCTTTTACCAGACTTAGTGAAATAAGAATTGTCCCCCTGGGTTGATCGGAGGAGTTATGCCTCCATGATTCGCCTCTAGGGTTTGGGGCGTTTAACTGTGTAAAGGCAGCCTCGAGCCTGCCAGATCTGGGTGCCCCCTCCCCTAATGTTCTGTAAAAAATTAATTTCCAGAAACCTAGGGAGCTGTTGCATCAAAAGTATTCTGACTATGTGAATATTCCAAAGTCGTTTGGAATTAATAACTCACAACTATAACTGAAGAACTTATGCTCTCTCTGGTCTTGTATAACTGAGTTAGTTTTGGTTCTCAGTGCATTTTCTTTGGATAATTAATATTACTGTAAAATTATTATTGGCCGTTTGGGTTTTAGTTTCATTTACATCATCAGAATTATGCTAGAGTTATATGATGTGAATTGCTCTCGAAATGATGCAGTGCAAAGAGAGATTGCTATTTTTATAATACACAAGGGTAATTAATTTACGCTGTTAATTTAAATTATGATTTATCTTTTAATATTCTTTATTTTTCTTACATATATATACACACATGTATATCGCAGCAACTTATGCAACACTAATTGTTCTCAAGTAAATATTTTTCAAACATTGCTACACATACACACATATATGTGGGAAAGCGTGTCTAACTTTCCGAACTTCTATGATTGTATTTAAAGCTTGAATAAATCTAATAGCAGAAGGCCACAGAGGATATTGGCCTCAGAACTGCTTCTGTGATCTACGAAATTATAAGGTGTATAAGTTGCTTGTATTAAATATCCATCATGTACAGATAATAATTATTACCATATTATCAAATTCTTTAACAGCTCCAGAAGATGTTGAATTTAATATGCAGAGCGCAGGAAACGAAAAAAATCCCCGTCTCGGGATCCTCTGCGGACTGCCATACGGGGTTAATCATCGAAGTCTCTGAGACCCCTTTAATGGCGGCGCAAACCCCACAGTCCCCGCCCGGCTTTATACAAAGCCTTGGACAAGGCAAATAAAACGCTTGTGAATACTAAATACGAAAAAGAACGCTCTGACTTCTCTGCCTCCGGGCACCAGTCCATCGGCTTCGAATGTTCGTCTTGGTGCCATGTCCACTCTGTCAGTCCCCGCCACTGGAACTATGAGGGTTAAATCCCCGTCAACTAGGTCGGTGATCTCCGATCAAGCTTCACAACAGTAAAAGGAACAGACACAACAGTACCAGTACGGTCCCTGTCAAGCCTGAACCTGCCTTAGTATGAACTAGGGCTCTAGTCCTGTAAAGTCAACTTATTTGCCCCCCCCCGTGTTTGAGACTGCCTAAGTACAGATCCTAACCAGTACTTCCCAGGAATTCTTCTGAGTCAACCCCAGGGAGAGGGAAATTTAATATGCAGGAAAAAACAACTAGGATTGAATTCAGCGAAAGAAACAGAGTATTCTACTATGAAAATATAATGAAATACATGAAACTATTTCTTCGCACAATCAGAAACTAAAAGGAATTAAAAGAAAAGTTTCAACTGAGTTGGTTGTAGACTAGAAGAGAAACACGCTAGGTAGAAATATAAGGTTGTTTTTTACGATTTTGATTGAGTTGGTTGTTTTTAACTATTATACGTTTACGTAATTTAACAATTTTATTCCGTATCAGTTTGGTTTCAGGAATCAACACTCAACTACTTACCAGCTCTACAGGGTTGTAGAAATGATAAATGAAGGTCTCCAGCCCAAGAAAACCACTGGTGGCTTGTTCCTAAATATAGCAAAGGCTTTCGACTGTGTATGGCTAGGTACCCTCATATACAAATTATACAAGAGTTTTCCAGAGTCCATCCTTAACATAATTAAATCCTACTTAGCCGGTAGACTGTCGTTCACGTTTCAGGCACACTTTCTACTCAACGGGACATCTAGGCCGGGGTCCTCCAAGGATCCCTTTTGGGCCCCACACTTTTCAATCTTTATATAGTTTTGGGTGTAATGGGAATGACATTCCCATTACAGCCAACACAATGTATGCTGATGACACTGCGATCATCTCAAACAGTGCATTTGTTAGTCCAATTATACAACGATTACAAGATAACATACCCACACTTGACTCCCAAAGTGGAAGATCAAGGTGAATGTTGAAAATACAAAGGTGAAAAACTGTTCATTAAGAAGAACAAATTTAAGAAGAATTTGCAATTTTATGGAGTATCAACTCCCTGGGCCAAAGCAAGTCTTTTATCTTGGGGTGATCTTCAGTAAGCTTCTTTCATTGTACCCACACATTACATCCATGATCAGAAAGTTTCGTGTAAGTAAACATACACTATTCCCTTTAATAGTTTGAAACAGCAAATAGACAACAAGTTACTCATTTATGAATCCATGTGACGTCCCATACTGTATTATGCCTGCCCGGTTTGGGCTTAGTCATGTAAATCCATACGTAAAAAGCTACAAACTGCCTCAAACGGTATTTTGAGGCGGAACACTAACTTCTCTTGGTATGTAAGCAACTACAAGTTACATGAAGAACTACGTATCGAGCAGTTAAGAACGTTTTACTATCCTGTTGCTTGTAAGTGCTATAACGACCAAAAATTAGTTAAAAATTCTGCTATTAAAGTGTATAACTAAAATGTAAATGATCCATGTTTTAGCAAACGGCCTATGGCCATGCTTAGTAACCAGACAGATTAATTAGTATGTACGGCATCTATGTATTTTCCTTGTGAAGCTTTCTCTCATGCATAATTTTCTCTTATTTAAATGTCTGCGTGCTTATCGCACAACAGCCTCTAATGCAATCAATGTTTTAGCGGGATTATTACCCCTCCACTTACGAGTTGAAGAAGAGGCTGTCAGGCAACTCATCAAACAGTTACAGCGTCCAGCTTACTTCTCTGATGAATATTTCCTTCCAGAAGAATATGAAATCCCGGCTCCTGATTTTCGTACCCATCCATCATTTAAAGGCATTGGTGTTCGCATCCAAGTTCAGCCAACTGCTACAGCTCTGCCTTCTCAAATAGAAATTTATACAGACGGCTCGAAAATCAACGAAAACACAGGCAGTGCTTTTGCTGTTTTGCGGGATCATATAGTTACACATCATTGGAAAGGTCAACTGCGCTCTCAAAATTCAGTCTTCCAAGGTGAAGCGATTGCTATTGCACAAGCCTTACGCTACTTAATCTTTTACGGTATTAAAAAAGCAGTTATAAAAACAGACAGTCTATCGTCGTTGCGTGCTTTAGGTAATCCTGACCATCCATCTACCATCATCCAAACCATTCAGCAGGACCTAAGAGAGCGTTTCCCCCATCAGCTTAAACTTGAGTGGATCAAAGCCTCATGCTGGGGGCATTACGGAAACGAAACTGCAGACAGTCTAGCCAAAGAGGCAGCTTCAGGCAATGCAGAAGATACTCAAGTCAATATCCCATGGCCTATTTCTTATCTAAAGAAATGCCTGAGATTGAAAGCCATTGGACGATGGCAAAAGGAATGGGACAGGGCTCAACCGGTCGACGAAAGCAGTATCACATAGCGTATGTGGACACTGACCGTATCATTTCCAACCCTCAGCTCGTCCGATTTATCACTGGCCATGGTCCATTTCCACAATATTTTGCAAAACGCGGACTCAGCCATACTGAGTTCTGCTGCTGCGGAGATATTGGGTCCCCAGAGCATTACCTGACCACTTGTCCATTGACATCTGATCTTCATATTCAGCTGCCAAGTACCAACAGGCAGGCCTTCTGCAAATTTATCATAAAGCAGAGATATCTGATTACAAAGGTTGTCAATTTAATGGACAAACTGTCTGCGCTGGGCATGGACTTATGTCAGACAGCGTAAATTCTCCTGCTGCCATAAACGTATGCTCCGTATGGATTATATGCAAATTTGTACCAACAATATAATAGTCTTACACCAGCAAAGTATAGTACCGGTACTAATCAGTATTGTGTCAGTATTAATATCAGTAAAGTATTGTATCAGTATTGTAACATTTAAATATTATATATCCACATTTGTATCAGTAATGTAACAGTCGTAATTGAGTAAAGTATTGTATCAGTATCAGTATTTCCCATTTACAATTAATCACTATTAGTCAGTATTGAATGAGTATTAATACCAATAAAAGTGTATTATGAGTATCAATAACAGTAACGTATTGTATGAGTATTAATATCATTTAAGTATTGTATGAGTATTAATACTAGTAAAGTATTGTATATGCATATTTGCTCATGCATATATCGCATGAGCAATAAAAACAGTCTTACAATCAGTAAAAGTATTGTATCACTAATATATCAGCCTTGTATCAGTAGCGTATCAGTTATATTTCATCAGTAATGTAACAAGTAATGTAACAGTAGAACATTGATCTATGATATTTTAATTCTCATTTTTTCTTTTTTTCGGGGGGGGGGGGGGAGTCTCTGTAACGTATAATTTCGTGGATTTATTTACCGACTTGTTGCAAAATCATTCCCATTGCATCAGTATTAATAATCAGTGTTATATGAATGTATCAGTATTAATATATCAGTGTTATATGAATGTATCAGTACTGTAGCAGTATTAATCAGTATTAATATCAGGTACCAGTATTATATCATCCTTTTAATCAGTTCTGCATCTGTCATATTTGCATCAGTAATATACCAGTAATGTATCTTGAATATTAATCTGTAACTCTGTAACATGTTATTATTGTATGGTCTTGTCGTGCCACATTGATTACCTTTCAGGTGGCATTATGTATTTTTGAAGGGGTGCTATAGATAGTACAAGTAAAGGTGCTATAGATAGTACAATAGTACAAGTAATGTAACAGTAGAACATTGATCTGTGATATTTTAATTCGCAATATTTTGAGTCTCTGTAACGCATTATTTCGTGGATTTATTTACCGACTTGTGCAAAATCATTCCCATTTAATCAGTAATAATATTCAGTGTTATATCAATGAATCAGTACTGTAGCAGTATTAATCAGTGTTAATATCAGTATTATATCAGCCTTTTATCAGTTCTGCATCTGTCATATTTGTATCAGTAATGTACCAGTAATGTATCTTGAATATTAATCTGTAACTCTGTAACATGTTATTTTGTATGTCTTGTCGTGCACGTTGAATACCTTTCAGGCTGGCATTATGTATTTTGAAGGGTTGCTATATATAGTGGTGGACGTGGTGCTATACTAATTAACCGTTTGATAAAGGGATAGTGCCCACGTCCTCCGTTCTCTCTCTCTCTCTCTCTCTCTCTCTCTTATTTAAATGTCTGTAATGTTACACTGTTCGCCAAATTTGTCGAGAAACCAAACTTGGCGACCATTCGGCGGCATTTTGAGCCGGTCCCTGGATACCAGTAAATATGCTAATGCAATTGAATAAACATAATTGATCTCTATATGTAACTGTAACCGTATCCGGCCCTTATATGTAACTTTAACCGTATATACCTTCGAATAATTTCGAGAAATGGAAGGTACTAGAGATTTCTCGGCGGCCTGGGAAAACTATATTAAGCTCGGAGAGAGGATAAGTTCTCAGTTGTTTCGTTCACCGTTGAATTCGAAATATTAAGAGATTCCGTGAGAGCTCCGCCTTTTAGATATGCTTTATATTGCGCTGTGTTTAACGTTCTTAGTAGTTTTAAGCTTAACTCATGACTGTAGTCTATGGTACTAGCAAGGGCTGTACGAGTACTTTTATGGGAAGTTCCAGAATTGTAAAGTATTTCTTTTGGTAAAATAAATTTTATCGATTCTGTGTTCATTCAGTCCATTGGAACCCGTACGCACGCAACAATATCTTCAAGTATCATTCATCTAATCTTATGCATTTTACATCATAAGAGTTTTATTGCGTATTTTTATATATTATTATTTATTTTATATAATTTGTATGTTTTATCGTATTATGTATTAACATACTTTCTATGCTTATTATTATGTATTTTGTATTATTTTATTTCCCTGCATTTATTACTTGCATTGTATCATAGCTAGCCTGCACATTCAAAATTCGTTTTTAAGTACTCTTTTGTCCTTAATTCTAATGCGTTTTTGTGTATATCTTGATGCTAGGTAAATATAGATAACAAGCATGATAGTGCTGTATTTAAAAATATATATAACGGTGTGTGCCGTTATTGTACATGTAGACAAACTTAAATCAATGATACTGATAATAATGATTATGTTCAGTTTGTAATAACATTGTTTTCAAATGCCGTAAACTCTATGTATGTAATATTTTATGCTTTTTATGTATCTGTTTTATTGTTTTATTTATTAATTTATATCTTTTTTTTTTTTCAATAAAATTCCTCACTGAAACGACATTTAATTCCACATGTCTCAACGTAAGACTCAAAGTTACGTATCTTCGCAGTATACTGTGGGCTTTCGTCAAGAAATGGCAGAAAATTTTTAAATCTGTGTTCTTTTTGACTGACTGAATCAAACAAAAGCACTTTCATGTAATGCATATTTAATGATTACATGAGTTATATTTCATATAATCATTATATATATCATGTAATGCATATACAATATCTTTGTGAAGCATTACATGAATGCTTCACAAAGATATCGTAAAATCTTATCATTCATTCACGAAGATCCTATGTAGAATTTACATTATTTACGGAAAATAATTTAAGATTCTTTATAAAAACTTATAATTTTATATATATTTACTTTTATATATAAATATTTTATATATATATTATTTATAAATATAAATTTATAGACTTACCTGACAATCGAATACTTTTCAGTTTTAAGTCCTTTGGAAATGTACTTCTTGGTAGAACCATCAGCTTATTGTAACTGAGTGTTACCGATGTTAAACTGCTCAGGTGTTTAAAAGCTCCATTTACATTATTTAACCAGTTGTTCCCTAGATCTAACCTTTCAAGATTTGGCAACGAAACGAGCTCTGAATCCCTTATTTCTTTTAAGTAGTTCGACCGCAAGTTTAGATTCTTCAGCTGTGGAAGAATATACATGGAACGGTTTAATGCAGAAATTCTGTTACCAGTAAGGGTTAAGTTTTGTAATTTTTCTAAAGCCGTGAAAGCCTCTGCTTCGAGAATAGATATACTGTTGCTGCTCAGCTTTAATATTCTGACTGAGGAAGTATGGAAGAAATCTTCCTTTTTAATTGCTTGTAGATGGTTTTCGCGCAGATCCACCATTGCTAATGAAGGTGTTTCTCGAAATATATTTTCTAAACTTTTCAAGCAGTTTCGGTAGAGTATTATGTTCTGTAAACAAGAATTGTTCTTAAAAACATTGCCCATGGTTTCTATCATATTTCCTTTTAGGTTTACTGAACGAAGGTACTGCAAATTATCGAAGAATCCTTTAGGTATTATCCGCAGTTTGTTAAAGCTGAGATCAACATCTTGCAAATTTGTTATTGGTTGCAGTAATTTCGAAGGAAGCTCCTTGAGTTCGCATTTCTGAAAACTCAACATTTTCAGAGATCGCATATTACCTGCGAAAGTATTGTCTGATAAGTTCCGCAGATTTAAGTTTTCATCGAGTTTGATTCTTTCCATTGCAGTGTTGTTCTTGAAAGCGCCTTCCAGGGTTTCGATTCGGTTGGATTTAAGATTTAAGAACTGAAACAAAAGCATGGAATGAAATCAACATATAAATTAATAAATTGTTGGTCTGTCTGACAGATGCATATGCTTTCCAAATTATGGAAACAGTCTGTTGAAAAATTCCATTTATCCTTTTCAAATTCTTTAAAGTAAGGGGACTCAGTACCTTTTGAATGATTTTTTTTATTTAAAAACTTTCATTTACTTGTTATGAATACTATTAATTCTTTTTAAGACAAAAATGATTTTAAGCTGAAAAACAAATTTCGCCAGTATTTTTTTTTTTATTTAAAAGTTTTTGAAGGAAAATTTAACAATTAAAATGTCTTTCTTCTACAAATAATTTCAATGTTCTTGCCCTAAGTTTTTTATTGTATTTATTATTCTTAATAACTTTAAGGATCGATTTGGCAATTAATGCGTTAGTTTCTGAGAAAAAGATAAAAAGCAAATTTTTATGTAAAAACTTTGAAAAAGTAAGTTCTCAATCACATTTTAACTTCCAATAATTTTTCTTCTCACTATTTTGCAGAACCCATCCTTGTTAAGTATATAACTTTAAACAAGCAGTGAAAATATTAAATAATTTAGTCCATGTTTGTTTTATGACTTATACAGATAAAGTCAAACGATTTATTGAAAAATGCACACTGAAAAAACGCTGTTTAAAGATAGTAAGGTCATTAAATCATTTCCAATTTTTAAAAAATTTTATTACTGAATTTCAATACATATATATATAATAAAACCTAGTAATGTTCAATTGGTTAATATAAACATAAATTACACAGTCTTTTGTTTAAAACCTTAGCTGGCCAAAAATATTGCAAAAAAATCATAAAATGCAAGCAGAATTTTCCTTTACCTGTTTTTTGTTTCATAAAACAAGTTCAAAACGATTTTAATACATGAATTAATTATAATATATTTTCTAAAACACTTACAACAAACATAAAAACATTTTATTTAAAACCACTCAGCAGCATATGTGATTTCTTCTCTTCTTTTAACCATGTGTTCTCGTATATAAATTGCATTTTAAATTAATTTAGGTAAATTTTAATTAATTAAAGAATTTAATGTTTGTCCCAACACTATTTCAATAATACTACACTCAGGAATTTGATTACTTGCAATACGCCACCTCTTTCTGTTGGTGTTTTTATCACAAATGGTTGGTGTTTTTGAAGAAGCATAGCAAAATTGACTGATAATACACATAGAATTATTTTCTGAGCTGAATATATGTATACATATGTAAGGAAAATAAAGAATATGTAAAAGATTGAATTAGCAATGAAAAATTAATTCCCTTCTGTATTCTAAAAATAGTAACCACTGCGTCATTTCGAGAAAACTCTATGTCATATGACTCTTAAATAATTCTGATGATGTAAATGAAACTAAAACTCAAACAGCTAATAGTAATTTTACAGCAATCTTAACCATCCAATCAAAATGCATTGAGAATGAAAACTAAGTTTGAATTAAGATTTCACTTTGAACACAACACACTTGCTTTCACCGCTTTGGCTTAGCTGGACTGCTGTCTGTCTGCTCCTTCTTTTTACTGCAAATGTATCAGAAATGTAAGCTTTTTGGAATTGGCACAATAAATGTGCCAATTTGTTTGTGGCCACAACATGTTTACTGAAATAAAAGTTAAATTAAATATAGACTGCCAAATTTCTTATTACTTGTGGATCGGCATTTCAGCTTTCTACGGCATCAACATTCTCGCTGTTCATTGTGGATACAACCACCTGCGTATTACCACAGAATCTATTACATATATATATATATTTATATACATCAGCCGACTTCGGCTTCGGCCACTACTAAGGCCAGAAATGGTGGTCACTTTATTACGGAGACACCTAATAAGTGGGTCACCTTTGCCTCCTATGATGGGAAGGACAGTTACAACCATGCCTTCTCCGGAATCCGGGCCCTTTGATATAGCAGTCGGTTCCCTAAACACTATACCAGTGGTTCTTAACCGGGGGGCCCGCACCCCTGGGGGTGCGGGAGAAGCCCCTACCTAACCATAAAAATTATTAAATATCATTTATTAAATTTCTTATAATAAAGTACTTGAAATCTGCAATAGTGTCCCCAATATTGAAGCTCATAAAAATTGGTAGCACCTAGCTCACTTATCGGCAAAAGCCACAGGAAAGAGCCGGTGCCGATGGGCGTATACACTACGCTACGAAAAGGCATGAAACGCTACAAACGAACGCGAACAGGCAGCTAGGTGATGGAGAAAAGAAAAAAACTTTGTGGGAATACAAGCGGAGAACGTTATCCCAGCTTGCGCATGCGCTGAGTTCAATATGTGCTACTCCAATGGAATCTACGGATTCCCAGATTTGTATCTGCATCTACTGCGCCTGTGTTAGGTTGAGTCAAGTTGAGTCAACTATTGTGTCTGCGACATGTGTATTGTGTATTCTGACTTGTCCAGAAACCTCTTGAGACATTCTTGATTGCCCGTTCAAGCCGAATAGGATTCAGTGATATTATAAACGTAAGAACATTATATATATTATATTACATAATTTCTAAATAATTAAATCGATTATAGTGAACCCCACTATGCCAAAAAAACGACAATGGAACGATAAGTATGCCGGTTACGGATTTACCTGCACAATCGAAAAAGATGGCACGCAACGACCGTAATGCATCTTGTGTTCCAAGATATTTTCAAACAGCAATCTCAAACCATGGAAGTTATTAGAGCATTTCAACAATCTGTATGGTGGCGAAAAAGCGCATAAGCATGAACAGCTTGAAGTCAAAGAAGGCTCGGTTCGATACCAGTGGGACTATCCTAAAATTGTGCGGACCAGCAATTCAAAAACCTTTATTAGAAGCGTCATATCAAGTGGCATATTTATGTGCCAAAAAAAAAAAGAAACCTCACACGATCGCTGAAGAGTTGATTAAACCTTCTGGTTTAATTATTACTAAAACACAGATTCGGATTACATAAAAAAATCCAACAGATTCCATTATCGAATGATATTATACGATGGCGAATACAAAATCTCCGTGAAGATATTTTAATGCAAGTAATTGAAGACATAAAAATCAGTCCACTAAAAATAAGCATGCAACTGGATGAGTCAACTGATGTTGATAATTGTAGCCAAGCTTTTGGGAATTGTCAGGTATGTGAAAGGAAAAAGAGGTGGTAATAGAAGAATTTCTATTTTGTGAGCCACTGGAGGTGAATACGAGAGGAAATTGATGTTTTCAATCGCATCAAAGATTTTTTTACTAAATATCAATTACCAATGAATGTGATTGGCTTAATATTGCACTGATGGAGCCCCAGCAATGTTAGGCAAAAATTCAGGATTCTTTTCACAACATTGAAAAGAGAATTACCGGAAGTTATAATAACGCATTGCATGTTACATCGTCATGCACTTGCGTGGAAAAGCATTGCCACAAAGTTTAAAAACAACATCTAACTACAGCAGTAAATGTAGTAAAATACATCCCAGGGCGAGCGCTTAATCATCGCATTTTTCGTGAATTTTGCAAAGAAATCGGTGCTGATCATACCGTACTCCTATATCACACCGAAATACGATGGTTATCTAAGGGTCGCATGCTTAACAGAGTTTTTGAATTGCGTGAGGAAATTATTCAATTACTGAATAGTCAAAACTGTTATTTAGCAAAAGATTTTGAGAGTAATGATGCAATGATGAGGCTAGCCTACTTAGCAGACATATTTAGCCATTTAAATGAAGTGAATCTATCAATGCAATGATTTGGTATAAATATAATTATATCTAGAGAGAAATTATCTTCATTTCTAGCAAAATTAGAAATTTGGATACGTCGAGTAGAAAAGGGGAATTTTGCAAACTTTCCCTTGCTTGATTCTGTTATTGCGAAAAATGAAAAGAATACAATTATACCCGACATTGTAATATATTTGAGACGATTGAGCGAATCATTCAATGGATATTTTTCTACCGGAAATATTACCAAAACTCAGAGATGGATACTGGATCCTATTTGACTTAAATTTGATGGATGATAGTGATCTGAAAAAAGATCAACTTATTGAAATGCGAGCAAGTGGATATGTTCCAATGGAATTCGAACAATTAGAATTACAACAATTCTGGTGTTCACAGTTACAACGTTATTCAGAGTTGGGGAACGGAGCACTGCAGTTACTCTTACCCTTTGCTACCACCTACTTGTGCGAAATGGGATTTCCATCGCTTTTGCATATAAAAACTAAAGCGAGAAATCGCTTAAATGCAAGTGATGACTTCCGCGTATGTCTTTCAAGAAAGGAACCTCGCTTCGCCAGTATAATACTCAAAATAATAATAATAATAATAATAATAAAATTATGAAACTAAATATTACTTTTGTAAAAAAATAAAGTTAAAAATATAGTAACACCTTTTTTTTTAAATAAAAAGCGGAAAGGAAAAATTAAATTTGTAAAATAAATATTACTTTTGTAAATCCAGAAAAATTTTAAAACAAAAAATTAAAATAAAGTAAAGTAAAAATACGAAAAGGAATAAATTTTGGAAAAAAAACTTTTGCAAAATAAAAAATGAAAAGGAAAAATTCAATTCGTAAAAATAAATATTACTTTTGGAAGTTAAATATAAAAAAATAAAGTAAAAATACGAAAAGGAATAAATTTGAAAAAAGAAAAAAAAAAAAACTTTGCAAGATAAAATGTAAAAAGAAAATGTAAATTCAGTTTTGTAGAAATAAACGTCAATTTGTGAAAGTTAAAAATAAAATTTATGTTTGGGAAAGGGAAAAAAATGAAATAATAAATTAACTAATAACTTAAAAAATAGTAAGAATGAGAAGAAAAATGAAAACAATTAAAAATATCTTAATAATAAAAAAAAAATAAACTGTGGGAAAATCTTACATTTAAAACAGCAATGAATAAAGTAATGATTAAGAAGCCAAAAGAAATCCTAGCCGTCGTGTAAAAACAAATATGTGACGCGGTT